TCAAATTGAAGTGAAAACATAGGATGCAATTTTCCAAAAGCTAATGCTAAGAAATCATCTTGGGACGTCTTGTGACCATACGTCAACATCCGCCTTTTTAGGGTACCCTTAAATGTCGGTTAGATGACGTTATCGGATCCTAACCCTACCCCAGACCTAAACCTACCCCGTCATCTAACCGACGTTAAAGGTAAAGCGTCAGTTGTATGACGGCCTGGGATCGTCATGTAACCGACGTTTAAGGGTACCCTAAAAAGGCGGATGTTGACGTATGGTCAAAAGACGTCCCAAGACGTCAGTTTTATGACTTATGAGACTGTGTTACATGAAGATGTGCTCAATATACATTTTAAGTTGATTACTTGTAAATGTAACTAATGAACAATAATTCCTGTAATAAAATAATAACAATACAAATAATAAAAAATATTAAACATACTAGCAAAGTAATATTTTTTACAGTATGATTTCTATAAACTGCTATAAGCAATACCATATGGCTGGGGAGATATAGATTTTTAACAAATCCAAATTACCATTCATGCATGACTGCTAACATCATCCATTAAAAACACAATTGATAAGTATCTCTGGAAATATTTAATATTTGATATATTTTTATATTATAAATCAGTGTATGCACATTGAAAAAGCAAATGCATGACTTGGCAATGATAAAAATATAAATGCCACTATAACTGTTCTTATAAAGCAGTAGGTCTTATGAGTCTTTATAAATACAATGGAAATATTTACTTTAATTCATTAAATGGTCTTCATAAAAACTGTTACCATTTTTTTTTTTTACTGACCACTATTTTTTGGACAGTAGCTGGATGATGGCAGGTGTTACGATTTGAAGCAGGAAGTGAACAAAGCCGGGGAAAACTGACTGAATGATTTCTTCAGTTAACTTCAAACCCTTAGTTAGAACCACAGCTCAAACAAGCCTGTTACTTAATTGGTGCTTTAGCTGTTTAGATACAGCAAGTAAATGAGGCATGAAGCAATAATACAGCATCCTCAAACATTCCGTCTGTGGAATATATTTTACACGGGAAAACATTAGAAAGCATGCAGGGTCTTCCCAATTCCCAGAACTTTAAAATACAAAGATCTAGTCTGCATATTCATTGGCTTTCTTCTAAATTAAACTGTTTATTGTAAGAACTACATGCACATTTATGGACAACAACTATTTGCTTCTAATTATACTAAGTAATTATGTGTTGCCAGATCAAACGTGTTCCTTTGCTGATCAAAATTCACAAAGCTGCCTCGGTTTCGCTCCTGGGTAAGATAGCTTTGTTTTTTTTTTTGTTTTTTTTTACAGTGAATATGATTGTAGATCATGCAGTTATCTATTGTGGTGCCGCTAGTATCAAACCGTACAGACAGGATTCTCTCATGAAGCGCCATTCGTGCTGGGGGGCAGGATTACAGGAACAAAGAAACCAGGGTGAAGAAAAAGATCTTAATCCTTCATCCCCTCCTTTTCCACTCTTTTATAAAATTCCTCATCTCTTCAATATAGGCCTTCCTTTCTTCTTATAACAATAATGATACTCTCTTGCTCTCCTTTTTTTCCTCTTTCAAGTTCGACTAACAGCCAGGGCCCTGGAACTGCTGAATCTACACTGAGGGATGTTTAAGGAAGCCAATAAACTGCCTGAATGTGAAGAAAGATTAAACATTAATGAATGAGCGAGATTTCAGAAACCAATCTTGATGCATTTTTTGACATTCAAATCAACTAAAAATGAAAATGACACACCAGCATCTGCAAAGATTGGTGAGTCAAGTGTGCTTTAGGTGAGAGAAAGTGGTAGATGTGTCAAAGGTGAAACATTTAACAACAACTGACATTCAATCCCATGAACGACCACTGCGATTAGTCACTGACTGTCAAACGAGTACATTTTTCAAGTTTGATTTCCAAACACTAAGACGGCAAAATTATTCTGGAGCTGATCGTCAAGAATCAGAATTCCTGGGCTCAGGCTGATGTTAAATGCTCTTCATTTTTCAATAATTAAATAAAGTGAATAAAGAACCATATCACCAGAGCTGACAGAGAGAGCAGATGTGTAAATGATTTTGTAATAACATGACACATAAATATTTGCTGCATTGATTTAGATGTATAGAGTCCAGTGGAACTGGTCTAGCTTTTGACATCAAGCTTATGCAAGTCCTTATTTTCAATACATGAAGCATCCATCTGGAGTCTTTTATTACTACATTTCATGTAATTTATTCATGCTCTTAAAATGTGGACATGGTCTATGCAAGATTAATTGAAATGAAATAAAATATATATATATAAATTGTGTTTAATTGAAATAAAATACAATAAAATAGATTTTTGATATTTCTGCTTCATTCCCAAGTTTGAAATGTACTTTGTCTGGCGATAAATAAATTTCTATCATTAAAATGTTACTTAAACACGTTAATTTATTTAGCACATTTGAAACTAAATTTTTAATTTAACATATCTAAATGAAGAGTTCAGATGCAAAAGCCTCTAAATGCCATTTGAAATTTTCTTCTTTAATGATGATTTTTTATCAAGCTTGTATATTTAAGTTCAGTAATTTCACTTAAATAACAATTAATAGGTATTTATCATTGCCATTTAAGTGAAATCACTGAACTTAAATATACAAGCTTGATAAAAATGATCATTCTAGAAGAAAATTTCAAATGGCACTTAGAGGCTTTTGCATCTGAACTCTTCAAATGTTTTCTGCCTTGGGCATTATTTATATGTTTTTCATTTCAATATTCCCACATCCAAAAGAAACTTAAATTTAAAGAAAAAGTAAAAAAAAAAAAAAAAAAAAAAAAGAAAAAAGATTCCTGCCTGAACTTCTTAAAGGGATTGATTCATGCATGAATGAATGTTCTGTATTTTTTTTACTGCAAAAACAATAGCAAATTCCTGCAGTGAAAACCTGCAAATGGTTTAACCCTCAATCGGGTCATGGGGTCTATATGACCCCAATCGACTTTAACTTAATAAAAAAAAGGTTCCCTTTATCTCAGTGGAATAAGATTTTGTGACTTATCATAAATTATTTATATATACACACACACAAAAAAAAAAAACTGGGCTTGATTCGGTTGTTCTGAAGGTATGTAAAAAAATAAAATAAAATAAAAACTTCTGGTCTTTGGGGTCAATATGACCCCAAACTGAAATGAAAGGGAAATGTGAAAAAAAAAAACTAAATATATTTTCTTCATGTGTCAAAAAACATAATTTATAAATTATATAAATTCTGCATAAATCTGAAATTTTTACACAGAAATGAAGGCCTAATACTAGACTAGAGCATAAATGCAATGTATCATAAAAAAATTATATTTCATATGCAAGCTAATGGTGTAGTTGAGGTATTGTGTGGTATATGGATACAAAAGTACTTTATATCTCCAAAAACACAGCATTAATGAATAGATAAGAAGTAAAAAAAAAAAAGAAAAAAAAAGATATATTATTTGTATGATTAAAAATGTATATTTTTAATTGCTGGGGTCGTATAGACCCCGAAGCCCAGAAGTGTAAACATGAAACGAAGACCATTTGAAAGTTAATATCGAATTTGTAATTCTTCTGTAAAATACTACCACATTTATGGTTTTGCAAGTAAAACCTATACTACCATATTGTACAGCGAAAAAGTCTTTGTGGCTTCACATAATGGTCATATTTTGTTTTCAGTAAAGTAAATTAGAGGTTTTTTTTTTCTTGCATATAATTTTAAGTTAATGTGTATGAGGTTATTTTAGTGAGGTGTGTTGCCCTGATGCAGTTGTTTCTGTAAACCCCTGTGCGACGTCTGTTTTTGGCCATGTTTTGAGGGCAAGCCTCAAAGAACTTTTTAGGGAAAAGCTAATTTTAGTAGGTTAAGTAGTAGTTATATAACCTAATGACACATTCAGTTATAAATCTGTAATTATACAGGCACCAATATTCTATCCCTAATACTAGAAACATTTGTCACCGCATTTTTATAGTGAATTTCTGTTTACTGCTCCCCCTTTTTTTTTTTTACCACAGATTTAATGCAATACTTTAAACAGAACCAAGAATATCATATATAGTATGGGTTTTCTTCCAGTACTCATTCTTGACTTACAGTATTAACTATTCGAACATTGTAGCAATTAAGCAGAACTGAACCATTGCTAGGCAACAGGCTATGAACATCCTGTAGCTTTGGGCAAGATGACTCTGCAACAGATACCGAGAACTACATCATCGTTTGGTTATGTCTAAGCTCAGATGTACATTCATCTGATGCGATCACAGAGGACTAAAAGTGCATAAAAGGATCATACCCGATTTGCACATAATTGAAGGTTGCACTGTAAAGTGACGAACAAACACTGGCTGGTTTAGAAAGGTTACTGATCTACGCTCGAGACAACACGCAGACATTTTTAAATGATTTATCAGATGTTCTGCAGGACCCAATGCAGTCCAGCTCACACATCTGGGGCTTTAAAGTGAGGATGAGATGTACCAGAAGGAGAAGAGTTGCCATCCGGTCTCGAAGACAAGAGAAGACGTGCTTTTCTGCCTTGTTAAATGAAAATCACATTAACCAATGAGCCCCATGGTTGGAATGCCTTGTTATTAAGCGGAACAAACTATAGAAGCTTTATTGGACACATGACACACTTTCACACATTGAGGAACACAGACAGCCAAAATCGTTGAAATGAACAAAGAAAAACCCACATTTTATTGCACTTAAGTTATAAGAAAATAAAAATTCTAAATGAATCAAACAAATACACAATCCCTTTAAGGTTTCTTTTTTTATCTGTCTGTTATGCCAGGCAGTTTACATAAACTGAAAAAATAAAACAGCTCCAACATCTGATTTCTCAAACCAGATTATAAATTAAACAGGAAAAAAAAAAAAACAAAAACAAAAAAAAAGAAAGAGACAGGAAAAAAAAAAGAAAAAAAAAAACAGGAGAAAGAACAAGATTGTTTTTTCTTTTAATATACAGTGTTAAACCACTTTCACAGTTCAGCTTGAGTTGTGTGACTTGGAGGATGAGACGAATCGTTTGGCTACGGATGCGGTTACGTTGTTTATCTATGAAGCTGCTTTACTATAAAAAAAAAAAAATTAACAAAAAAAAAACCTCAAGAGAGCATTACCAACGGAACCAGGTTAGCTCTAGCACTTAAAACGTAATCAGATGTCCATTTCTGTACACTAAGACCACCTCTGTAACTTAACGTCGGTTCCAACAATCTCGTTTTTCAACTCATTAAAAACAAGAACGGTATTCTTTTTTTGTCGGAGCATACATTTCCACACAGAACAGGCTGGCGGAGCTTTTGTCCCAAGGAATGTGTGAACAATTTGCTCAAACACACACCCGCACGCACGCACACCCAGTCATGCTCACAAACGCGCAAAATAGTTTCTACTCGTCTGTCGTTTCATCTCAGCAGACAAACCCGTCTCTTTGTCAGACATTCTCCCTCCTCTACGCCTCGTAGAGGCACATTTGGCTCAAGTTTCAGTGGCAAAAAAAAGAAGCTGTTATGTCGATGTCTTGCTTTTGTTGGTACGTTTGTTTGTGTCGTTGTTTTATAAGTTCAAACTCTAAAGTAACTTTTGTTTAGAATTTCGTCTGGGACTAAAACGTCACAGCCAGTTAAAGTTCCACCTTGTTTTTTTCTGTGTCTAGCAGCATAAAATCCAGTTTGGCCACTGGGATGGACAGTACTGGGGGGGAAAAAAAGGTGGGGAGTGGGAAGAGACATATTCCCAGGAGCTTATGGGAAAACATTCTCATTTCCCACAGAGCACCAGCACTGATGAACTAATGAGACCAGACTGGTTGAAAAACAATGAACGCAGGTCATCTCCGATCCAGAGAGGCACTGCTTATGGAGAACAGAATTTATATTTAGAAAAAAAAAAAAAACATCACAAGTAAAACCTCAAAAATGTGTGAAACAGCAGAGTGGGTTTAGCTTAATACTGAGACCTGTTGTTTGCAACAGTAGGCAGGAAGTGAACAAAAAATGCTGAACTTGAAAAGAAAGCACAAAACTTTAATTCACAGCTGTTGATGCACAAAAAAAAAAAAAAAAAAGTTGTGGGGAACAAAGTAAAAAAAAAAAAGAAGCAAAAAAAAAAAAGAACGGATACAAAAGAAAATAACGTGCGAGGAAGAAAGGGATTTTTGGCGTGTGCTGAGGTTGATGAGGACTGACAAAATTGGCTTCCTTTGTCTCTCTTTCTCGAATTACTCCCGCAGTACAAAGCTCCTCAATTCTCATCTCTCTCCATTAAAATTTTATTTGTATACACTATTTATCACTCCGTGTCCGTGTTGATGCGTTAGGGTTTCATGTATACAGTGTTGACTGTTTTGATAAAAAAAATAACGTTTGTACATATGGGTGTGAATTTCAGTCAGGCTTGAGCGAACAAGTCTCTGTGCAAGGTCGCCTTGAGTGGTAGGAGAAGGGACAATCCAGTCTTCCCAAGTCCTTCCTGTCAGTTTCCTTCCCAGAATGCTGTGGCGCATGAGCCTCTGCCCCCACCCCTCCCCCCTTCGGAAGGTGAACGGAACTGTGGCGGCGGTCGCGGACCGTGGCACGACTGGGAGAGATGTTGGCGGCAACTTATCGGGGAGGTGGAGATGCCATGAAGTGAGCGATCGGTCCTGGCGCGGAAAGACCCGGGGCAGGTTGCTCTCCCCCCCCCTCCCCATTTTACAAACAAGTCCCCTTTAAGTTCACCCCCTTCACTTCATGTCCACATCAAAGTCCAGCACCAGGAGCTTGGTTTCCTCCGTGCCGTTACGGCTGCCCACCGCGCAAACGAGTTTGGTGTTGGAGGCGCGGATTCGCCAGACCACACCGCCGCTACCTCCGCTCTCCAGTGTGACCAGGTTGCGGATGAACTCGCCAGTCCGAAGGTCCCACAACTTCACCGTACCGTCATCGGAGCTGGTGATGACAAAATTCTTGTTGAACTGCAAGCATGTTACTGCACTCTGGTGCTTGTGGGGACCTAAGAGCGAGATAAAAGAAAGAAAATAAGTTAAGAGTTGAAATTCATTGTGAAAACTATGTACATTTAATTGTATTGAATGTACACTTGTAGAGTAGTCAAATCTTAAAAGTATACGTATGTATTAGGGCTGTGCAAAAATTAATTGCGATTAATCGCATCCAAGATAAAAGTCTGTGTTTACATAATATATTTGTGTGTGCTGTATATAATTATTTTGTATATATAAATACACACACATGCATGTATATATTTAGGAAAATGTGTTATTCTATATATATATATATATATATATATATATATATATACACAGAATCTAAGCGCAAATAATTCTTAAATATTTACATGCATGCATAGGTATTTATATATACAAAATAATTATATACAGCACACACAAATATATTATGTAAACACAGAGTTTTATTTTGGATGCGATTAATCGCAATTAATTTTTGCACAGCCCTAATATATATATATATATATAAACTACTTGCAGACAATATTACTGAAATAAAAGGCCACACCGTAAAAGAAAATTGCTGTTTGAAATGTTTAAGTACGATCAACTTGGATGTTTACATATCATTTCAACTTAAATGACATTATATGACTTATAGTTGAATCTTCTATAACTTATTAAAAACGTTGAAAACCTTATTTTGAGGAGTTAAAGCAATGTAAAAACATATATTGTTAAATTATTGATCATATCATTTTTACAGTGTACTTGATCACATCTTCACTTTGATTGTTTCTTGACACTCTTGAGAACACTTAAAACATGATTCTGAATAGACAACTAAACAAAATAACTTGTAATTTATAAGAGGTTCTAAAAAAATGTCATTGCTGCAGTCTATTTTGAAAAAAATAATTTAAATTTATTAGACATTGTAGTTTTTTTGTTTGAACGAATGATTCAATGACTCACTCATTAAGACTCCACTTGTTTCATTACTGGATGAATCAGCATTTATGAATGAATCTTCTGAATGAATGATTCAAAGACAAATAGCCTACATTTTTTTAACAGTCACTTGCCGCCACCTACTGCTGTAATGTAATTTATCTTTAAAGCATCAAGTTACTTTCAAAAGTTGATTTGCTCTATTTTGATCGCTACTATAGATAGTGTTTGTCAGAAATACAAACTTTTATCCCAGTACTTCTGTGATAATATAAATTATTGTAACAGAAATAATGTTCCTGTATGTTTGAAAAAAAAACCATTTCATACAGGACAACTGATCGCAGCTACTTGTCAAAGGTTTATGATTGTGTGTGTGTTTGAATAAAGATAGTAATCTTTTTAACAATTATTCGTTCAGCTCTATTTGTAATAATGTCAAATTAAATGTTTTACTCTAAAGTACATTTATTTATATCCTACTTATTATGACCAAATAAACACTCTTAAAAGGTACAATATGTAGGATTTTTGCTATTAAATATCCAAAAACCACTAGGCCAATGTTATATATTTTGTTTAGTTGTTTACTTACAATATCCCCAATGTTTCCAACTATTTGTAAATCATAAGAAAATTGCGATTTTTAACCAAAGTATCGGCATGTGTCAGCAAGGGTGAAGAGTGAGAACCCCTTGGTTTCCGCTCGTACTGCCATAGTAACCATGGCGACAGACGTGGACAAGTGGGTTATGCCTAGAGGTACGCTCACTTTTTGTTGTTTTGTTTTTTTTTTGGACCATGGCAAGCAGACTTGAGACAAAAAGAGGATCCGAGATGCCGAGAGCTAACTTCGACTTGACAGAGACGCGAGTGTTGCATGTAAGTTACTTTATTAGACAGGTGAGCAAATGTATATGAAACTAAATCAATGCTATATAGTTCAATATGATGAAATGTTAGAATATGATCTGTATGTTATTCTAATGTTGATCTAGCTCACCGCTAGTCTCATACAGCCAACAAACAACCTAACCGACAGCATTAAACACACTCAAATGCCGTTTAGTGTGATAGTGTAACTGTTAGAGCAAGTTAAACAGCGCTGCGTTACCTCAAGTGTCATTCGTCTAATAAACTGACCTGTGAGTAACTTATTAATTCAGCACTTGCGTCCATTTCGGTAGAATGAAATATCCTTATTCCTTTATATCCGCGGGATTCGCATTGCGTCGCGCCCTGCTTCACACCACAGTCATGTTAAAAACATCACTGTATTCACTCATCCATAAAAGATGAATCAGCTTGACGACAAGATCCATAATTCCGCTTGATGCTTTGCGTCATCAATATACGCCTTTGTTATTGTAAGAGATTAGCGACCCCTGGCAGCCAAAAATTACATACTGTAGGTTTAAGTTCAAATAATTGCATTAACATAAATTTCAACTAAAAAAAAACATATTTTACAGCAATTAGCATGCATTTAAGCGTCAAAACCAGTACATTCAATTTGCACTTAGGTCTATTCTTTTAAAGTATATTATTTCCCTAATAAGCACTCTTTTTGAAGAGTACAAGGGATTCCAGATGAAGATGCTCATCACAAAAAGCCCGATAGACAGGAAATCGACCTGCAGCTACTTGCCACAACGGAGAAATCGGAGAGAGGATGTGTAACTATGGTTACGGGAAATACTGTGGCATTAATGGCTTTGATTCTATGCCCTTGAGGTATTGAATTGAGCCAGTCTTTCTGATAGGCCAAAGAACATCTGAGTCTAAACAAAAGTGCTTAGACTGCTGTCAGCGAGGCATATAAAGCAAAAAAAGAGATGTGCTCCAGTACACTGGTTCCTGTTACTGCGGAGGGGTGTGGTGAGCAATTACAGGCAATCTGTAGTCAAATACTGAAAATCATGTTATCAAACACCTAGACCTGAGAACAAAGACGGATTGAAGTTCATCAGTGAATGAAAACTCCTAATATCCATTTCAAACGGCATGAATTTGCTCATGAATACCCATTAGTAGAGCGCTAAAGTCAACTGTGTGAATGTAAATGAGATGGCCGCTCTCTATTGATGTGCAAGACACTACACAGAGTGACACAATAGACCCTTTTCCTTTAATGAGTGACTCTGTCTATGAGCATTCGCACTTCAAAGCTCAGCAGTTGAGTTGAGCATCTTGTCTGGGGTCAAATGTGTGTTTTTGTGTATTATGTCAAACGAGTGCCATTAAGTGATAACAGGAAATGCTCAATGACCTAATTAAATGACCTACAAACTGATATATGGTCTCCGTCTTACCCTCTGGGCAGCCCCAACAAGACCACATCCCCCTCCAATTCCTTTCATCATGTCATCTATTTCTCACCCTTCCAGAAGATTAAAGCTCAAGATGCTAAGAGAGGCTGGGAATTATCAATTATACATCTTTGGAAACAAATGTAAATCAAATCTATTTCTTTAGAAGACGGAGTAAAAATGTTGTTTGAGGTTAAAATGCAATGGATAAAGCTCTTAAAGGAACAGTTCACCAAATACAATATGTATACTTTCCAGCGAAACAAAAGTAGAAAACGTTGAAACATATTTTTCATTCAACTACTTCACAGTGGCTGTCAAGCTACACAAAGGACAATCATTGTGGTCCAAACGAGACAAGTCTTCTAATGACTGCTTTGTTTGAGGAAGAGACTTAAATTTAAGTCATTAAGTAATAAACTTCCCCTACACAAAATGTAACAATTATTCTACATCCACATTCAGGTTTAAAGAAAGCTGCATTTAAATTCCGTATTAAACAATGCAAACTGATTTGATTCCCTATTGTGCCATATACCAAAGTAAAATGGTATCTCGAACTAGAAAAAAACATAAGATGAGACCTCATTTTGTACATGTGAGTGACAGGTTGTTGGAGGAAAGGGATTATTGTCCTGCCCTCACACATATCATTAGAGAAAATATATATTTTTGATTAAAAATTACAAGGGTGCATTCATTTAAAAATAAAATACTATGTACAAATAAATCATTTATAATAAACACTGCAATAATCCATCTAAAAAAATAAAGCTGTGTTTACACTGCCAGGATCCCATTCATTTCACTGTAGAGCTGGCGATTTTTGGCGTTTAACTATGCAAATAAATAGCACCTTTCCAAAGCGACAACCAATAGGAGTGAAGTCATTGAAACGTATGTGATTAGTCACTACAGCCTGTATTAAAATTTATTTTAGAGGTTAGCAACTTTTCTATAATTTAAATGTCTCTGTGTACATACAGGGACACACGCTGTGCCGACTCAGAGCCTGAATGGATTTGTGCACCCAGATAGTCCGTTGCTTGTGCTTTCGCTCCAGATAAATAGCCACAATGGCAAAGAGCACCTGTTGTTTCTTATTCATCTTTAATATTAGGCATTTCATGTACGGATTCCATTTATATTTTCTCTTTTTCCTTAGTTTAGTGGAAAGAAAATGGATTCAGTGTCTAGAACATGGAATAACAGATTGTGTGCTTAGTCTGGGTGAGACGGAGTAAACCGCAGTGCCACAAGACTAACACACGTTGGGTAGCCATAGAGTGAAGACCAACTGCCAAGGTCAGGATTTTCATTAAATATTATAACGCATTATATTTCAGATCATATACCCCAACAACACTTGGTGTGTAAGAGTCACATGGGATCATTCTGTGATACTTTTGGGTCTTTTTTATAAGCTTAATATAGCATAATATGGACAAGCGTGAGCGGAATTTATTTATTTTTTAACAAATTTACGTTTGTGGTCCATAAAAGGAAGAAAGGCATATGGTATTAGACACAACACCAGGGTGAGTAATTTATGACTTCATTTAGACTTTAGGGTGAACTATCCCTTTAAGTCACTGATCCGTCACTGTCATTTTTAAGTGAACTATTTCTTTGACAGTTGCCATCAGTCATACTCTCTCTGCCCACCTTGCAGTGTCTGTAGGCACTGGCCGGTCTTGATGTCCCAGATCTTGACGGTAGAGTCAGCGTTCCCAGAGACGAGGATATTATCTTTGAGCTCCATGCCGCTGGTGAGAGACTGATGACCTGTGAGCGTGTGAATACAGTTTCCCGTTTCTACATCCCACACCCGAATTGACGTGTCCAACGAGCCACTCACTACATGGATGCCATCGAACTGTAGAAAGAGCAGATTAAATAAATCATTCTTCTGTAATTAATAAATTACATTATGTAAGAAAACGGTGGCTTAGCACCCAGAGTAGTCAATTTGGCTAATTCTGTGTCTAGGATAAAAACCCAAGAATTTAATAAAAGCTGTATTGAATAGGGAAGGGATTTGATTCATTTCACAATGAGATGCAGCACAAGCTGAATTCCAAATATTTCCCATTCCATTGTTATTGCATTAAATGGCACTATGTTTGATTAACTTATGTAATTACTGCAAAGCTCTTAAAATGATGGATATATGAACAAATGAGGACAAATGCAGATTAGTATGGACTACAGCCCAAATGTTTTGTCCCACAGTTGCAGTGTCAAAGACAAAATAGACTGTCCAAGATACAAAAATAAATGAAAATCTTTACAGTACACTGTTAGACCTTACCAGGTTTTTTTACAGTAAAATACTGGCAACACTGTTGCCAGTTATTTACTGTAGAAATGCACTAAAACTCAAGTTAAATAAAAAATACAACTTATTAGTTTTAGTGCATTTTTTACAGTAAATAACTGGCAACAGTTGCCAGTTACTTACCGTAAAAATGCACTAAAACTAATTTACTGTCAGTTATTTACTGTAAAAATGGACTAAAACTCGAGTTAACTACCTTCACTTGCAGAAACTGACTTAAAAGAATCAACTAAATTTATAGTGCATTAATAATGTGAGCAAAGTATTATTGTGAACTTATTTAATTAGAAACCACAAAATATTACTTTTGTAAATAAAGAGATTTCCACCGGATTCTGCTATAACACAGACAGTGCCTTTTTAAAAAAGCAACATGCAGCGTATCATCAATGTTTGTAGATCTTCTCCTGGACTGAAGCTCAGGCTCTACTCTTCAGCACAACGGTGACCCAAAAAACAAGATTTTACAGTAAACTACTGGCAACAGTGTTGCCAGTATAAACCTGTTTCATAACTTACAGTTTATTACTGGTAAAATACATTTTGTGGGAGTGTCTTTTTATGTTACACTGTTAACCCTTTCTACCCCACAGGAAAATCCACACTACAAAGAGTAAAAGTAACATTGATGCAGTGTTGCAGTGAGATAATTAAGGGAATATGTAAGTGATTGTTGAGCATGAACACCTGCTGTTAACAAGCAGAATCACCGAAGGAAAGAGGAACAACAAGAACAGAAAATAGAGAAACACAAGAACTACAACTAACTTCAGCCATTACACATTATTACACTTATTATTTACCAGTATGGCTTTATTTCTGTCATACATCTATAGAAGATGTTGAGATGTTTAATTGAAAATGTTTGGTTTGAAGTTACCATCATAAAGATCAGTGTTTGCTTTAGTTGGTCTGCTGATGCTGTAACATGAGATTTTCTTTTTGAGCTGTGTTTAAGCAAGTCACACTTGTGCAGACACACAGTTTAGTAATGATTTGATTTTTCAAAATATGCAAATCATCATATTGTCTGTTCATTTATTAAAAAAATTCATTCTCACTCGTTCAGAGTTTAATCCTCAACCAAAAGTGTTACATTACCACCACCGTGAAAACACAGCAATAAATTATGACTCTTTTTTTAACACATCATACATAAACCAAAAAAAAGAGCTACATAGTCTTGTAGAACCACAAAGATATCAAAATTTAGCACATTAATCTCAATGATGGTGGCAGTATATTTTTTTATTCATACAGCAGTGCATGCTGGGAGTTTTATACAATCCTGGAACCCAGCATGCACTGCTGCATGAAACTTTTGAATGTTACCGTTGTTGAGATGAATATTATAATTGTTGATGTCTGTGTGTGTCTGACTCAAGCAGGATATTATTTTTATGTTTTATATGATTAGAATATTATTCAGAAGACATGATTAACCAACATATTGATTTCATGTCATAGATTCACAGATTTATTTTATACTCATAACTTAATATAAGTTTCATATTATATACCCACATTCAAAAAGTATATACAGGAAAGATCTGAAAATCAGACAAAAGTGTGTTTTAAAACTCACTGTTACAACAGTCAGAGAGAGATGAATGTAACAAATTCAGGGACAAGAGACCTACTAAAGCAAATACTGATCTCCATTATGGTGACAAAAACTTTATTATTAATTAAAATCTCAACAAGAACTTTTGTACATGTATGAAATAAATAATGTTAAACTGGTTTGTAAACTGTTTTCACACTCTGTGTGTCTGGAAGTCTGTTGTAGATCTTGTGTTTCTCTTTTTCAGTTCTTGTTTCTCTGTCCTTCAGTGATTCTGCTTATCAGGTGTTCATCAGTGTCTCAATTCACTCACTTCTTTTCATTCAAGTGGACTATATTAGTGAACTAATGTAGGGAATAGTGAATGAGGGTATAGGGTGTGATTATGAACACAGTCTCTGAGTGTCGACTATTAATTCACAGTATATTCCTGTAGGCTATTTTTGTTTCCTACAGTATATTACTGTTTTAATGGAAAATGGTATGATAGTGTCAGAATTTGGCCTGTTGCCAGTATTTTACTGTAAAAAACCTGGTAAGGTCTAACAGTGTAACGTTGGTTTACAATAGTTTAACAATTTTATAATGTTATGCAGTGTAGCCATAAAAAAAAAAAAACTGATTTCCTTGATCCTTTAATCTATGAACTAAAATTAAATACAATTATGTTTTTTGTTTTTTTTCGGTTACACCTAATATCACTCATGGTTAGTTAATCCTTAGTCACCGAAGGTGTGTGGTTAAGATAAACTTCTTGCACAGTAAGCAGTAGGTCATGAAAGCTTTTTAAGAGGAAAGACAGAATAATAGTGCTTCTTATTCAGGCCAAATATGTCTTCAACCCTTGCTTCTTTAGAGCACTGAGTGATGACTGAGCCGTACTGTTCAAGAATTAACCTAGCAATGACCCGCAAAAACATTTAATTTTTCTTCAAGGAGGATGGCTTGATTTTTTTTCTTGCTTTAAAAGACCATAATCTGACCTCTTGAGAGGCAGGTGAAGTGGCCGAGCGTTAGTCAGGGAACACGTGTCAGGTGTAGGTAAATGTCTATGTTTACCTGTAGGGAGTAGACTCTGTTGGTGTGACCCTGGAGTGTGTGTAGGCAGGTCTCGGTTTCAGGATCCCACACTTTCACCATGAAGTCATAGGCCCCGCTGACAACCCTACGGCCGTCATACTGCACGCAGCGAACAGCTGCCACGTGACCCATGAGCACGTGCAAACACTGACCCGTCTCTATGTCCCAAACCCGCAGCGTGGCGTCCCGAGAACCGCTCACCACCCTGAGAGAAAACAAACTGGTTTAATTTTCAACATCTTCACATCAAAAAGTGTGTTGTTCACATTAAAAGTTTTTAAATAATAATGTTGGAATGATTTCTTTCTTTCATAAGTTATGATGGTAGAATTTAATCAGGGAAAAATTCAGCAGTCTATGCTTGTACCTTCAAGGGTTGCATTTGTTTATAGCATTACACGAATCAAAGGGAAAACATACTTTAATAAAAACAGACCCCTAGGAAACAAGTTTGATATATTTTTATTAAGCAAACAAAATGAACATTAAAATGGGTTCTGGTGAAGCAAAGAGTAACAAACAAACTATTATTGTTGTTGCTGAATGAAGCCTGCGGTCACTGAACAAAATAAGCAATCAAGCTTGACACAAAGGGAAAATATGCACACCAATTAGCCCAAAGGCATTGAAAACAGAGAATGTTGTCAGGCGAGCAATTGTGTAGTTCACAAAGAAAGCATAAAGAAGCAAAGCTCAACTCTGTATATGAGCACTGCGCACGGTTAATGAGTACAGCTGAAATCAGATGAGAAATGTGCGGTTTAACCAGTACGGTGTGTTGCTATTGAATGGAATTATGTTAAAAAAATTATTATATAATGTATTTTATTATATATAACACTCATGCAAGGTAGTTTTTTTTATCCAAAGCTGATACTCTACATCAGTGTTTCTTTTTCAATTTCTTTAAATCATTAATGAGTAAATTCAATACCATTAATATGTCAGTTAATATTAACATTTAAATATTAAATGTAAATATTTTTAATTTTTAATATAATTTAACAGTTTTAACATATGCTTAATATTAAATATTCTTAAAAAAAACATTTATACTGTGAGTGAAAAATGTATTGTGCTAAGAGTGCAGTCCACACAAAATGTATTTTGTTTTCCTATAAAAAGCTGGGGTAATTTTAACATATCTAATAAAAGTATTTAATTCATGTAAATCTGGAGGAAAACGCAAAAAAAAGGCAACAAACCAAAGTGGGAAAACTAATAAATCATATTAGCACCAAATCAGCATATTAGAATGATTTCTGAAGGATCATGTGACACTGAATACGGGAGTAATGGCTGCTGTAAATGCAACTTTGCTATCATAGGAATTAATTACATTTAAATAGTCAAATGTAAAAATTACAAAATATTTAAGCTTGAATAACCTCAGTGGCGCAATCTATATGTAAAGTGCCTTTTGTGAGGTGGTAGATGTTACCTTTTCTCATGCAAGTGCATACAGCGCACTGTTGAGGTATGACCATACAGCGTGTGGATACATTCTCCTGTCTCTGCATTCCAGACCTTCAGTGTTCGGTCTGTGGAGCCACTGATAATGATGTTGTCTCGCATCTGAGAGGACCAGACCCCTCCGGTGTGGCCGACTAACGTCCGCAAACACTGGCGACACAGAGAGAAGGAATACAAGTTGAAATCAATTGAATTCCAATAGCATGCGTTCCAACTGCAACTCAAAGAATGGCCAACAAAAAAGCCAACAAATTAATTACCCACTAATTTAAAGCACTCTCATATCCATCTCTTTGACCTTTACCCAAGACATCACTTATCAGCATATCAAATAACTCTACAGTCCATTTGAAGCAGGAAGCAGAGTTACTGGAAAAAGAAACTCCTCATTTCATATCACATATTAGATATCGATTGGTATGACGAGAGAAATCCCATAGAATAATCCATAAGGCTATAGGCCATATCCTCGAAATCTAATTAAACCATATTCAATTTAATTTCAGAGGCAAACATGAAATCAAAGGTGCCTGTGGTCATTTCGTTGCGTTATGAGGCGAGTGGAAAGCTTTGCAAGTGTCAAAGGCGTAACCTCTGAACCATGACTGATAAAAGAAGGGGTGATAAACCCAGGAGATGTGAAAGAGGAGGTCTCAAGGCCTTTAATTCATAATGCAGCCGCTCCTATTTCTGCCTCCATCTCGATTCATGATCAACCGCAATGCATCATTAATCTTTAGAAGCGGAGAGCAACCTCCACGCCACCGAGTGCTTTCGAGCGTTTTAAAGCGCCTTGCTTTGTTCTATCGCCATATGTGGCAATTGATGGAACAAAAGATTAACTACTGAGGAAATCAAACCAATTAGCAAACATTTCAAACCATTACTGTACCTGCAAAAATGACAAATGGGAACAAAGGGGTTAAAAGCAGAATGCCTTTTCACAGGGAACCGGATGAACGACGGGGAAGTCGTCTCCAAACAATCCCGTGTTAAAAAAAAATGTGCCCAAAGCCAATTTCTTATCTTGTGATCAAAAGCTACTCCACTCAAATTTGTAGTGTCCATAACATGCCAGAGAGAAAAAGGGAGGGAGGTTAAATCATGAATATTAATGTACTACCGACTGCATTATGCATGAGGCGTTGTGTTCCATAATGAGTATGTGTTACTAAGGCGATGGATCTTTCCCATGGAATGCTGGGGTTTAAATAATGCCGTGTTCTCGGGCGATTACAGCCTGCTCAGGCTGTCTCTGGAAGAGGACCTTTGAAACCAAATGGCTTAGGTGTCTGTTTATCTGCCCGTTGAGAAAGCATAAAAGAGCAAGTCTGTGGCACCCACGAGGCATGGAGATTAGCATTCCGTTTGAGTGTCTGGTGGGAAACGTTTGACGCCAAGGATCGAGGTTTAAATCCTTTTGAGAAACCCCTTCCAAATTCCACTCATTTTACAGTCCACATCTAATCTTAGGGAAGAAGATACCATGCAAATTGTGGCTAGGGTGGTAAAGTGCCAGTGCATATTTTGTTTAGTCTCCTTCCATTCTGCGCTCGTCGGACTGAAGTGGGTCCCATTTCAACACCCTCGTTCTCGTGTTCAAAACCCACCATATTCATGGATAGCCAGGACTGGCACACAAATTCCATGTTTCAGATGGTGAGCAGACTGTTTAGAGCAGCTGTTTTCATAGCTAACCCTCCTATTTTCATACTAAAAAAAGTCCTCTTCCATCTGGAAGGGCACTATTATTAAAGCTTTTCATCACCAAACCACAGACTACAATGGTTTGTGGAACTGTTTGAAGAACATCTGTCTGTTAAACACTGCTCAGCTATTGAGCCTGTGCATTGCAAATGAGTTAGAGGAGGGTATACAAGGTAAACAGGTGAAATTATTGAGCGCCAAAACCATGGTCTGGTTCTCGTAAGCACAAAATCTCTTCTAGATGGATGATAGCTGATTGCATAAATAGAAGGGTAAACAGTCTTTGCATACAAAACAATGCTGTCACTGCCACATTGCATTAATTTTAAGCTTTCTGGGAAAGACTGACCATTCAAAAGGTCATCAGAGGTTAGATCAGTGTTGTTATTGTTAGAAAAAACTACAAAAAAGTGTTAATTAATTGAAAATATAGTTCCACCGAGTCATTTACACCGTGCTCTCTCATTTCATACCTCGTATCCTGTTTTTGGTGCATACATTTTTTCTAATTACTTCATGAACACAGCCCCAGGGGTAGGCAAGTTCGGTCCTAGAGAGCTGCTGTCCTGCAAAATTTAGTTCCATCCCCAATCAAACACACCTGAACAAGCGAATCAATGTCTTCAGGATTACTAAGGAGACTTTTTTTCAGTGTTGGAGCCAAACTCTGCAGGATAGCGGCTCTCTAGGACCGAACTTGCCTACCCCTGACCTACCCTCAAAATTCGTCACATTATTTGACATTTTTCACAGGCCTTTCATTAAACTGACATAGCTGAAATATAATAAAATATAAATAGATGAAAAATAAACCAAAATTGAAATAAAATTCAAACATTTTGCAATTCAGCAACTGAAATAAAATTCATTGAAGCACTACAATTACTTGTATACTAAATAATTTACTAAACAAGTACTAATATACTAAATCATTTAATTTAATAATAAAGAAAAATTACAAAAACAAAATTACTTAAGTTAAATGAAAACCAAAACTTCCAAATAAAAGCTTATTCAACACTAGTAAATACTATAATGATATACAAATAATATAAAAATAACAGTGGGTTAGACGATTTTAACCTCATTACATATGAATGGTATGGAGCTAATTATCCATCTACAGCTAAACATTTAACAACCTTTAGTTGGGGAGTTAAGCCCATCAGGCCTCAAACAAGTAGCTTGTTCCAGAACAGGTTTAGACATCTCGTAATATACAATATGCAAGATCAGCATATATGAAGGTAATCTCCGGCTGGGTGTGTTTGTTTCTCTGATGCAGGAGTGGGTGGATGGTTTGGGCAGGAGTGCTGCAGTCTGCATGTTAAGGAGTTGGTGGTCAGCCAAAGGTGCAGTCTGAGTCATGGCTGGAGCGAGGGAGGGGGAGGAGAGTCGCAGGAAATTAAAAGTCGAATAAAGCAGCGAAAACGAGGGGAGAGAGCGTGAAATGGAGCCAAAGGTTTTAGGATTGAGTGAAAGATGCGATGAAAGCAATAAGTAAACAGGAGGATGGAGGCTGGGGGGCTGTTTTCACAGTGAGAGACACAGATGCGTATGCTCATACACTCCCAGTGACCTTCTCACTCCTCTCTACAGTACGTCATGTCACACCCAGATCTCCTGCGCTACCGTAAACACATCTCCACGAAAGGTGACCTCCAGCAGCTTTGAACACATCGCATAAACAGTCTCAAGGGCTTATGGGTTTTAATTTGGCAATCTAAACCCAGGGTTTCACACAGTTCATACTGTACCCTGGGTTAGTAATTAATGAAATTTCACACTGTAAATTTGTAAAAACACGGGTTAATAGTTTTATTCGCATATTCATGAGGTGATAGCAAGCAAGCAGAAGCTTTAATAGTTGATTCGTCAATGGAAATTGTCAAATTTGCTTAAATCTTCTTAAATCTAGTACAAACATAATACAGCTGCTGGTTTATTCCAGTTAACACGTTTGTCGTTGCTGTTCAACATTTTTTTCCCCTCGGGTGCTGAAACTAAATGATACAAAAAGCTCATGAAATTTTAATGAGGTAAGCACTGAGGCTTATGACCACTTATTTGCTTCCAAATATTTTGCTGTAACTTTCCATCTTAGGTTCCCACATATATTTAATTATAGAGCATAACTATTGACCACAGAAATTTCCATGACTTCTCTGGATTTTAGGATTTTATTTATTTCCGTTACTTTTTCAGGACAGAAAAATCACATTTTTCAAAGATAAGCAAACTATAGATTGGCAGTTTTGAATCTTTTTTTTTGTTTGTTTTTTTTTGCTAATACTCTTCACCTCTAAATGAAAAACTTGTGCATAGATTTTTATCATATACTTACACAACTTTTTTTTTAACCAATTCATATTTTTTAATAGAGCAAAAGGAACATTTCTATTGACTACAGCATTTTCCATGATTTCTCTATGATTTTATTAATTTCAGATTCTTCTAGGCCTGAAAAATCGCACTTTTGTCAGGGTTTCGCTTTCAAAATTACAATTGAGAAATGTTGCTTTAAGCGCAGTGTGAAAGCCCTTTAGTATTTTTTTGTCCTTTTTTTCAAGGCATCCACATAACCTTTAGTGGTCACCAACTTTCGTCGCCACTCATCCCTGAACAGGTGAAAAAGCTATGGTTAAATCCTGTCGACACATCTCAGAAAAGCCAGATTAAATGAGTCTTAGCCTGGGCTGGTTGTGATGCGACAGAAAGAGAGAGATGTTGGCCGAGTGTCACTATATGAGGAATATTCCACAGGCATTTCAAAGCTGCTAGATGTCATACATGTCCATGCAGCTGGAATAGAGGAAACTTCCATTGCTTCAGAGTGCTGGTGATTGTCTCAGAAGTTTTAGGATAAACCCTTCTCAACTCGGGAGACTGTGGACGAGTCCGACAGCTCCCAGTAAGATGGAGAGAGAGTGCTACATATAATCTGTGAAGTGGTTCAGTCGATAAAATGCCTCAATTCTATTCAGGTAATCTGAGCAAAGTAGTTTGTTTTGTGGGTTATGCCATGGAGACAACATTAAAACCAAAGTCCATAGAAGCCTCTGTTCTTATCTTGATCCTAATCCAAAGCTGCTCATCTGCTTGCTTATGTTTCTGTCACATTTCATCCCTCATCAGACGCTTATCGGGCTGTACACATCCTCAAGCGTGGCACACATTCAAATGAGCAGGATGCCGCGTTAGAGCCTAATCTTCCCTCAAAATCACTTTCCTATTACACACAGCATGAGGCCCATTCATTTACTATGGAAGGGGGCCAGTAATAGCATTATCATGCAAGTGCGGGTGAAGATGGTCTGTAAGCCACGGCACGCCAATCAGATCTTTATCTTCCATTCGTATCAGGCGTCGCTCAGACATTTACTTAATTCCATGTTGGGCTAATGATACAAGGGGTCAGGTAAATCTAATAATATAATAATATA